AATTGAAAAACTTGGTTTTTGAGACGTTTTTCACTATTTTTCCTATAACTCTACCAGGAAGGGTCTTTAAAAAATTCCCAAAAGTCTACCTCTGCCCTATGATCTTGAGAACTTCTGGTAATTTTAACTCGATCGGATGAAATTTAAGAGGAGTCATAATGTCACACAATGAAAAATCGAGTTTTCTGGAAAACTCATGAATGGTAATAGTTAAAAACTAAACAAAAACGAAAAAATGCTCCATTGAGTTTCCAAACAGTTCTGAAAATATGAAGCCTTAATGACTTTTAGTCCACAGTGTTTCCACAGAAAGCCCAAAAAGACGGGAGGAGTACCCTTTAGAGATATGCAGGGTAACTGTTTACGGAGCCCTAGCCCTGCCCTGTGAAAAGTTTTTGAGTCCTGGTCCTACCATGCCCTGTGGCAATGCAGCCCTAGCCCTACACTACCTTTTTAAAATTTGAGAATTTTCCATTTAAAATTATTTCTTTATTTTTTTTAACTAAATGAATCATATTGATAAAAATTCTTTTTTAAAATTTCGTAGCAACATAATGTCATCGATCGTTTCTTCGTCCAGCCTTTGTTGTTGTTTTTTTTATATTGCCAATTGTACCAAAAATGGGTGCAACGGTATGCAGATTTCTCAAAAACAGGTTTTATGTTCAAAATTTTTTCAAAACGTAATTATTTAATAAAAAAGGACAATCAGAGCAAATAGATATTTGAGAAAAGTTTTGCTAATAAAATTCAACATAGGATGACCGCACAAAGTTTTACATTTCATTAGAATGAAGCCTTGTGCCATACACGTAAAAACAACAAAACTATGGGGTCAGGAACATTTTCACGATTTTTGATATTAATCGAGATCAACACCAGATTATGCAGGTATGAGCCTCCAATTTATTTAGTCTGGTGTAAAGGTTAAACGAAAAAACTTTCGTTGCGCAAATCAAAGTAAGTTAAACGAAGAGAATAGATGTCGTAGATCGTAGTTGCCAGTGTTGAATCTCTCGGATTTGGTATGTTACAAAAAAAATATAAATATATTTCTTAAATTGAACATATGCACTCGACGTCTTTTGGCTGTGTAAAAGACATTAAGCGATCTAATGCAAAAACATCAACAGACGATGATTCAGGGTGATTCTTTCGGAAACCTACCATGTTTACATTGACTTTATCCGGATTGTTCGAGAGTAACAGGACTAGTGCAACTTGGGCTCCTGATGACGAATATCACGTTTAAAAGATTCTAAAACAACGGCACGATGACCTCCTAGACCTGTGAAGATCCCATTTTCCCGCAGAATAGACCTTTTTTGGACATTTTCACCATTTTTTAGTGAAACACTTTCATGAACTGATACCGTCAGATTAGATTCTATATGTGTAGAGCTATAAAATCAGTAACGGACACAAAGCTCCAAAATGTTAAGTACGCTCTCAGGGAAATTTTTAAAAAAATCGTTTTTTTCCGAAAAGTAGACCTTTTTTCTAAACCATATTTTCCCCATAAAATCATATCAACACAAGACTGCAAGATGTGCATTCGATGCGTCTTTCCAAGTTCTATTCGATGAAGTGGTTCTCACTGGGATTAAAACACGTTCAATGCTAGAAAAAATAAACTTTTACAGACGATTTTTTTTGTTTTTAAAAGTTTGAGTACGTGCTGCACCATTCCACGGTGTTACCAGACGTGGGACGGCATATATCTCGCATGTACTCGCCGTGGACTATTAGAAAAACAGGTTTTCATCTTTGGCCAAGTACTTTCAGAAAAGCGTATTTTTCAGCAGAAATTCTACAGAATTTTTGTCTATTTCGAAAGTACTTGGCCAAAGACTTTTTTTTCTTTGATATTCGTGATATTCGTCATCAGGAGCCCAAGTTGTACTAGTCCTGTTACTCTCGAACAATCCGGATAAAGTCGATATAAAGTGTGGTACGCTCTCGAAAGAATCACCCTTCAGCGTGTCAGGTATTGACGATAATTAGTTTAAAAGGTTATAAATATTGACAGAAATGTCCTAATCAATTTCATTCTACCGGTTTATTAAGTGACTCCACGAAGATACATAAGTCGTTAGTCGGAGAAAAAAAATGTAGAGAGGTTTATCTATTTATTTGAATCATTAAAAACAAGATGACAAACCGAAGGGCAAAACTATGATAAATAATCTATAGTAAAACTTAATAAAATCATGATTTTTCTTTTGATGTAATTGACACTATGTGCTTGATAAAAACATGGAGAGAGGCGGCGTATAGTCAGAGGTCGGACAAGTGTCGTAGGCAATTTCCTATACGAAAATAGGATATGAAAAAGAACTAGAAGAAAAATGAACAGACAGTGGAAAAAAATGTATATTAATCGCTTAAGGAAAAAATTGAAGTGGGTATAAAGGTAGATGATGTTCCTCCATTTTGGATCAGTACACACCATCATCATTATTATTAACTCGATCAATACAGTTGTTCTTTAGGAAAAAAAGCTGTACTTTTTGTCTTTTTGTCTTTTTTTTCCGTAAAATAAAAAGATCAGTAAGGTAATAATTTGTCAATTTACTAATAAGAGATTTAGTTGTAAATATGTTTTATTTTATTTTAGTATTAATTAATTATACGATGCGCAGGAGTGTTTCCATCTTGTAGAAGTCCACTAAAAAACGAAGAATACAAGAAATAACTTTCTTGCAAAAAATTTGTTTTTTGAATAGGCTCTATAGTTGTATTTTCTTCGTCTTTAAAAGTTGCACACACAAGCGTCAACCATAACTTTCATGATGATGATAAATTTGCTACTGTTTAGTGATTGGATCATCAGCAGCCGCTGCTTCTCAGCCAAAAAAGTAAGTGATTATGTGTATCATATTATAAACGGGAAAGATATCTGATACTTGTCTATCGTAGAGGAATACTAGGTATAGCACCACTTCTCGGCGTATGTTGTCTTGGTGTACTCGGATTATTTGTTGCCGCCACAATAGTATTGGCACTTATACCAATCTATTTGCCACGACGTTCTACTGTTTCAAAACAACGTAAGAAAAGAGAACGTAATAAAGAGCAATTTCAATATATTCGATGTGCTCCTTTATTACAAATTAGAAACAGTACCCGTTTATATAACATTCAGTGTGAACAATAGTGCTATACCGACCGGAACCCTACCAAGTGGCAATTATATAGTTATAGCAAGAGCGGTATGATATTAATTCATGATCTAAATATACCACTGAATATTCAATATCAGAAGGCTTTTAGTTTGAAGCTGCTCGTAATATACAATCCGGCTCATCCAATGTTTTGGCCGCTGCAATATCTAGTGGAACTGGTCGAAAAAAACGAAATCAATTGTACATACATGATATCTTCTTCATGAGAGCAAGATGAAATGTACATGTTTTATTCTTATTTTTAGTGCATTAACAAGATTAAAACGTCAGTCAAACGGAGTAACCAGTAAAGTGTTATCCATTAAAATTATTTTCAATATTCTATTGTGTCCATATTGTCCTTCTATTGGATTTCGTAATTCATTACCTGCACTTACTTTTTCAGTCTATCTTACAGATAGTAATGGAAACGTCTATTTCGAATCACTCATCGTTCTGAGTGTATCACTAACAAATAGTAAGTTTAACAAAATATGATAAAGAAAATATTCACAACAATGTGTTTTACTCTTTTTTCAGTTCCGTCTAGTCTTCTAGAAAATGCCACTTCAACAATAACAACTACCGTACCACCCGTTACATCTGATTTTAGCGGTTAGGACAATGCTTTAATGTCAAGACAACAAATACAAACAAGTTTTTTTCTTTTTGTTTTGAAATAATTCTATACCCCACTATTATTCTTTTAGTAATTATCTAAGAGAAAAACACCAATATTTTTCTTTTTTATATTCTCGTGAACATTAAATACGACAAAATATTTTTACTATAATGATTTAACTTTCATTAAAATCGATATTGAAATAAAAAATAAATGTTTTACTTTATAAATTAGCATAATGTAGACTATATTAGGCAATGATGATAACGATCTTAAATGCTTCATCTCCTTGCAATAAGTTTTAAAGAGAAATATTAAAATTTTTAGCAATCATTCGATATTTTTTAAAAGATGAACTCTCACTATTACTGATAGATGGTAATGTACATAGAGTGTATGAGCAGTCAGATATTGAATATATCCGATGTCATGCGTAAATAAGTGTCGATTTTCTCTGACATCATATTAAGTTAATTAATGTAAACCTGCGAAAGCATGATACAACTTTTCACTACAAAAAAATAAGATACAGTTTGAATCAATTAAGCTTTTTTATTTTCAGTTTGTTAAGTAAGTATGCAGTAAATGTTTTTAGTAAAAATAAGTTTTTTCCTTGACGAACAGTAGTGATAACAGCGAGTATAAGCGTCGCAACGATTTTCAAGGTTAAAAATGTTATTAATTTTGCTTTTAATTTGACTAATGTACTGTCAATAAAACGATGAGAAAACACGCCTTGGATGAAAACCAGCTATACAATCAGCTAATCTTAAGCAAGTTGGCAATCATAAAATGATATTATCATTAATATTATAACTCATTAGATCAAAATCACTCTGGAGAAAATCCCTAATATTAAGCGTGTTTGTACTAAAAAGCTTTTCCGTCACGCTAATGTGACTAAGATACTTTTTAATTACAACAAGAAAACATTAAGAAGAAGGGAAAATATGATGTAGAATCTCCAGTGCATATATGTAAAATAAATCAACAAATATTCAAAAGTAAATGCACGTATTTAGAATATTGATTACAAAAAATCATCATTTTTGTATCCGATTGCTTTTAGCGAACTCATCTGAAAACAGTTGTTTTAGAAAACCTAAACATTAAATATTTACTGTAATTTCTATACAATCCGAATAGTACTTGCAAGACGATTTAAATTCAATTAAATTTACTGAAAAAGAAATATCTACGCACATAGTGAATAGTTATTCCTGGCGGTTATTATCGGTTTTATAAGTTCGTTGTAGATCGATTAGTTGGCTACAATCAGTATCATTGCCTACGCGATTTAATTCGTCATTTCTGCTCTCTTGCAACAGTTCACTTGAATATGGTCTCACAGTCACTACTACTTCTTCACTTCTTCTTTTATTCAATTGAACGCTATCCTCACAACATTTCCATCCGTTAAGACTCATTTGTGTCCATGTATCACTACCAAAAACACGTTGTATTTCATGACTGGATACATCTTCAGTACCATGATCTATATTTATATTCAGACTTGTACTATGAGAAGGAACATACGATGATTGTTGCTGATTAATTTGCAATGAGGTTGGTAGAACGACTGGTACAGTGATTTCTTGATATAACATATTAGTAGGTGACTGAATTTCTTGTATATTCATATCCGGTACTAAAGGAGCACCATTCATTGGAGAACTACTAGTCGCTGTCATTTGTTGTTGTATATCTGTCTCCTCAGTACTGATCAACTCTTCTTGTTCTAATAAATGACGTTCAAATTCCTCTGCTTCTGAATCAAAATCATCATCAGAGATCAAATATCTATAATGTTGCAAAGAAAATAGTATAATATTAGTGAAATCTTGAAATACACTGAATTCAAGAAGACTGAGAAAACAGCAAAGTTGTTGACTTGTCTTCTTCTTACGGAAAAATATGAGCAGTGCGACTAGATATCTCGCGTTTGATCAGTTGAAAGAGATATTTCTTACTCAGCAAAATCTTCTTCTTCCTCAAACTCTTCTTCATTAAAAATATGTGTTGTATCGCCGCTATCCGTGAACTCTATCTCTTCATTTACTTGATAATTTTGTTGTAAAATTCGAAGTGGTCGAGCTAATTCTAATGGAAAATTCACGAAATTTGTTAAATTAATATGATCAAAACTGATTTGTTGTGGTGATAGTAATGGAATGTTACTTGTTGTGGTATTTTCTGATTCTTCATTATACTCGGCAGAAATTTCCCGGTGGTTTATTAGAACTAAAGCATTATGCTGCTCGACTTCAATATGATGATTTTCACTAAAAGCTAAACTTCCATTTTCTGGAATAGCTGATGTCGTTGCATCAGTTGGAATACCTTGAAAATGAAAATGGAAGTGAAGATCTTTGATTCCACTTCTAGTGAACATAGTCACTTGAATTAGTATTTCTTGTTTCTAGTGTTGAATTGGTTTTTATTTCAATTTTATCCAAAACAGCGTCGATATCATCTAAAACAGAATTAAGTTGATTTATAAGTGGTCTAATGGATATTAAGGTCGACAATGGTTTTGGAATTGATGTTTCAGGCATCAGTTCTTCCATGTTGTTACTCTTTTCAGCTGAAAATACGCTATTTTGATCGTGCTGAGCGACATTAACAATATTTTCTTGAAATTCAATATTAAATGATATTGAACTCTGACGACTTATTTTCGGTTCATTAATATTATTTAAGGTGTTAGTTGAAATACTACTTGCTAATATCTGTTGTTGAGAATGTGTTTTGATTGTTTCATTCCATTGACTGGTTATGTTACTTGGCTCTGCATGACTCATCTGTGATACGGTCCGGGATTTTTTTACGATCGATGTATAACTACGAGTTATATTCAGAGGAAGTGCAGTTGGTTGAAACATAGAAAATAATGATGAACTTGAATCCAACACCTATAGAGATAGAAGTAGAAAATTCATTCTCATTTGATTGAGAAACAAATAGTTTTTAATCTTTACCCTTTTCTGTTCATTATTATTATTGGACGACGAATTTCGTTGATCTACTGTTGTTATTATTCTGGCATGGAAGTCGACAGATGAAGCTAATTTGTTTTTTACTATGTTTTCCTGTTCTGCATCTACATTTATCCCTGTTTGATATGTAATCACATTTTGTTCTTGTTCATCAAAATTAGCATCACACTCATACCAGATATCAACGATTGGTGCCAATTCTAATAGGTCTATTTTATCTTGTAATGGACTTGTTTCAGCTAATTGATCAGTGATACAAAAGATTTCTTCTTCTTCGTCTCGTTTACATCTCTTTTTTAATGATTGTTCATTGGTGATTGTCATCGATCGTTTTCGTGATTTGCTATTTATAATCAGTGGAGATTGATATTCATTTTTTACCGTTAAATCGATTATTTTTGTCTCGCATGAACCACCACGAAATACTCGACAAACAAATTGTTTCGCTTTTTCAAATACACCGGTAGATGAACTACTACTGATTGATTTGGTTCTTTCTGAATTAACTGTTTGAGATTTTTCTTCTATGCTGCTGGATAATATAGTCTGCTGTCGAGGACTAGATTTGTTTGAATGAACTGATGGCTTTTTATTGATAGATTGTTTCCGACTAAAACATGTTTTATTCATATCCGGCAGTCTCTTGGTTAAACTCTCGATTACTTTCTCGTTATTTGTAGAGCAATCCTGTAGATAGAATAAAATAAATTCCACCTCATTAAGAGAAGAAATGATGAAACTCTAATAAACACAGCAATTTATAGTCAAATATATTTACGTACACTTTTTTCTTTGTCAGTTTTCTTTGCAGGAGGAGTACAAGTCGTAGTTAAATGAACATATCGTCGGTATTCTGCAAAAATTTTCTCTGTTAAAACAATATCACTCTTCAACAATCTAAAATTGATGATTACGAAGATTTAGCCTGGTCGTCCAACATCACTCTCTCTCTCCCAATGTTTGCTTTAGTGTGTTAATGGTATATGTGTTATATCACAAGACACTATTGAGATACAAAGATATTAAGTGGTAAATGAGACTAGAAACTAGTTTTCACTGACTGGATTAGACAAAAAATACTACAATGTGTGAAAACATGAAAAAATATTCGACAGAGTTGAAAAATATAGATATGTTTAACATTAGAAACTGTAAAGACTTCTGAAATGCTGTCTTTTACGGACTCTGAGAGAGGTAATTCTATGTTGAATCACAGTGGTTATTAATACACGAAGAAAGATTAAGATAAGAGAGCAAATCAGTGGTAACGTCGCTATCAGAATGATATTGGTAGTATTCCCTTATACCCACAAAACTTGAAGATAGTGCGTAATTATATCCTTCATTCATAACATGTTTACTAACATCAGCAGCCAGGTAGAGAAATCGCAAATTTAAAATGTAAGAAATTATACATATGCGGATCACATTAGTGACTGTATTTTTCTATTTCTGTCATAAAAAAAGAGTTTATTGGCTAGAAAACTGTATGGATATCTTCATTCTAGAAAAATCAACGTTTATCATTGTACATACACATCTTTTTTCTCTAGATAGCGCCTTGTGATACAAAACTTATACCGATAAAGACGTAACGAATGGAGAATGAAAAAAATATAATCTATTTGATAGAGTTGAATTGAAAAGTCATCATTAGGAAACTACATTACTCGCAATTTTTTAATAGTTTTATGAAAAGCAATCGATTTTCGGTGATCGCAAATAAATTGAGAAGAATTGGGATTGATTCAGTTGTGATGAATTTGTGAATCTAGTTAAAAAAATAGAATAGGAATATATACCAAATTCGAGAAGATTAGAAAATTAACAAATATGAAACATACACATGTGAGCAAATGTCCAAATGCTTGTAATCGATATTGTTCATCTTTCAATAAATTAAAAAATAATGAAAGTGTTTCTGCATTCAACGTAAGCTTAATCAAATGAGTTTTTAATGTTATCAACATTTGCAAACGATCTGAATCATTACTTAGCTATAAACAGATAAAAATCTCGTTTGAGCAAGTTGAAAGTGTTAGCTAATATCGTTAGTGTTCTACTTTAAAGAGCAAACGGATCTTCTTTACAAGGGTTTACAGCTTTCTCATTCTTATTGAATTGCTGTTATTCAACTCACTTTTTTCAATTCTTGGCATAGAATATCAATTGGCGATGGTATAATGAAAGTTGCATGACAATTCACATTCATCATGTAATGTAGAAAATTAAATTAAATTAAGAAGAACAGAATTGACTTTATTTTTGTCATTCGAACATTTTTTCAAGAATATATTAAAAATGCGCGCGCGCTAATGAAGAAAAACAATCATAGACTATAAATAGCTAGAAATTCATTTTTCAATTAACAGAATTGAGTCATAGTTAACTCTTCCTCATTGTTTTTCCTGTGATAAAACGACGGTCTTAATGAATTAAAAACTAGTAATATTTATTCAGTGTGTAAGAACTAGAAGAAATATACTGTATAGCACTGACAGCCGTCTCTAGATTTACAAAGTGAGTACTTTCTTGTTCTACTCTACATTTCATAATGAGGATGCATTGTTGCTCTAGATTATGATACGGTTCGTTTTAATGTTGGTCTTTTTTAATTACAGATTTATTTGAAATTAATTAATATGGCAACAGCACATTTCTTGTTGATACAGCGTTATCATTCTGAATCATTTTTTATTATTTCCGATATAACGGTATCGATTGGAGTTTTTTTATCTCAATTTCTCAATTTCTTAGAAAGTTTTCCAAAATTCTCTGATTTTATTGATTTTAGCGTATCACACTTATCAAATCATAATTTTTTTGGTTTTTTTCATCTAATTGTCTATCTTTCTGTACAGTCCATGTTTTATTTATTAATCAAAAGTGTACGGAGTTCGAGACCCAATGGCTAGATTATCATTTGATTCAATAAGAATTTCTTTTGTAGAGAAAAATATTTATTTTTTATCACATACGAACCAAAACGCAATAATAATTCATATGAGCATGCTGTTGACAAAGAATTGTATAAAAAGAGATTGAAGAAAAGCAACATTGTTTGCATTACTATTTTGTTCGTACATCAGTCAAACTAAAATACTGATTCATTGTATTATAAATCTGATGTCTACTTGTTTTGATGGAACTTAAACATTTTGAGACGTTCTTTAAAATAACGATAGATACTATTATAGTCATTCTGCGAACTACAGTATGAGAGATCGGACCAAACAAGACTACTAATAGTTAATATTGTCTAAGAATATTTTTCGTCCACAAATCGAGGCAATTTAACAATAGTCTATAGATACAATTTTTTATTATCGGAATTTAGGCCTTCAACATTGATGCTGTACAGTCACATCAGAGAAAACTTAAGAAGAAGAGAATATTTTTTCGCAATTAATCATGTTGATGCTAGAAAACAATGAGAATGGAAGAAGAATTGTGTTTAGTGATCAGATGGTAGATAGATTGAAAGAGTTTTTGAAAGTGTGTTAGTAACAAGTATTTGGATGGTGTATAACCGTCGTGTTCAACGTTATTGATATACGTAAACTATTCTATTCTTTTTCTGTCTCTTTGAGGATGAACGAAATTGAAGATAAAATCGATGTACGTTAAAATATCAGCCGTAGAATGCTGGAAAAATGATATAGCATCATTTAATCCGATACTATTTATTCAGATTCATTAATAGTTCTTGTACTTAAAATAAACTAAAAGAAGAAGTCGGCCATAATTTAAGAAATATCTGTATATTTTCACTTAAGCATAGCTTAAAGGAATAACAGGATCAGAAATCAATCTTTGTTATGCTGTTTCTTTTAGCAAGAGAGGATGAAGTCTAGAATTTTGGCAGAAAGTAATTTGAAGGAACACGATGAGCATGAAAAAAAAATGTTTTCTTAAAAAACTAATACACTGTACCTCGGTTGAGCCACTAGCTCGGGGAACTCTCTGTTGAAGTAATAGAAAGAGTTGGGCAGAACAGTTTTTCAAGACTGAGAGTAACGTCGAAAATACTGACAGAAAGTCAAAAATTCAGGGAGTCTGGCACCCTCTGTTCTTCCCAATTTGAATTACTGGACAGGGTACAATTCGACTTGAGACGCAACTGCTAGTTTTGTTCAAAATAATACCAAATATTCAGATATGTTCTTATTGAGATTAAATGAAAATAATTGCCCAGGAAAATATGTATCTTTATGAAATATTCAATAAGAATTCCGAAAATCGTCTTTTAATTTATATGTATACATATTTCTTAGCATTTTTGTAAGAGAGGAAAAATATGTACAATTAGATAAAAAGGCAATTATTTGTTTTTTGTTTATATTCTAGTTCACATATCAAAGCTAACATCACTTTAATATTTGCTGATATGTCTTCTTTTCAAGAACACCACTGGTGTTATCGATATATTTTATTATTTACGGATCAAATCATTGAACATTTTGTGTAACAACTAAAAACAAATCGTTTGCTGTTCTCAACAGTTTATTTTTAATGAGTATCGTGGTAAGTCTCATGATAAGAGATTTAAGACACGGACGTTTAATAAGAAATGGCTGTCTGTATAAATCACGAACACATTAACCTTTTCAACTGGAAACAAACGCAGTGTATATTTCATTAAATGTGTTGTTATCCTCAGTATGTTTTTAATGGCTCATTTCGAAAACTTAAATTTTTTTCTACAAACTATGAATAAAAAACGTCATCATAAACAAGAGACTGTTTGATTATTTTAACCATAAACTGAAAAAATGTATTTGTTAATGAAACGAATGTCCAGTTTTACTTGATATATTGTTGTGTGCCCATATCTTTTTTTCTGTTCTTAAATTAGTTGAGCATATCAACTAACTTATGCCACAGCTTATTCTCTCTATATGAATATGCAATCAACAACAAATTTTCATGATTATAATGAACACAAAGTTGATTACAACAAAACACTCGATTAAAATATTCAACAGTGACAGATTGTTGTTCATTTTGTTTTTACTGATTGACACACGTTTTGATAGATAGTCTGATGATGGAACTAATTGGTATGACAACGTTGATTTCGAGTTTAAATTTTAGTTATTAACTAGAATTTTGTTATTAGATTTTAGTCTGTTTACTGATCCTCTACGTCTTTTGCTGGTCGTATTAAAAAAAATCTCGTCTAACCTTTTTGTTTTTCTTGTTAAGACTTGTTGAAACTAATGAGCTGACTTTATTTAGTAAAGTGGCCTCAGCACTGTGTAACAAATAATCCTTCTTATTGTATATTTTTGAATAGTGTAAAATTAATTCTTAATCAGTGTATACTCTTTGTTCATATGAGCACAATGAATTTTAATTGAGGATGTAGAAAAGTTCCACTTCGATTAACTATGATGGAAGTAATTTGCACATCATTTTCCACAACTATGAAATGGGAACGGAAATTGTTAACGATACAGGTGTGTCAAACTTCCACTTCCAGCTATTCGTTTTTCTCACAACTTTATCTTGACAATCAGACAAACATACAAAAAATGAGTTTTGTCACTTGTTTAATATTCGATTATTTTGCTTAATGTCATAGATGAATTGATTTTTTTAAGACAGTTGTTCTCTTTCGAACGAATTATTCTTCTAACCAATAGAAAAAAACATTATTAGAATAGAAAACAACCAATAGGTAGATAAGAGATATTATTTCTTTTCTATTCTTTCAAATGATGATTATTTTTCTAAACTGTAACAAATATTCAATTCATTATCAAACGGAATAGATTATTTTTAAAACTATTCATTTAAACTTGTCAAAAGAGTAAGTATTTCAATTATTTTTCTATAGTTGAGTATCGAAAGTGTGTTGGGATAAATTGATCAGAATACAAATAATTTCTAACGAAAGCCAAAATAATCAAAAGTTTCTTCTACAATGAGTATATAGCAACGTTTTTCAATTTATCAGCTTTTCAAGCTATTTTCAAGCACGAAAAAAAGCAGCTAGTATTGATGGCATCGAGATATTTGTACGATGGAGATTGTACCAGAGTTACAGAATTTAAATGAAAAAAAATGTGAATACGAAACACGAAAATATCTTAAGAGATAGTATTTTCTCTATCTTCGTTTCAAATAAAATTTAGTTCAACTGCTACAATTGAGATTATTCATCTTTGAGTGTAAAATGTTTTCACACATTTCCTATCTTTATTCAATCTCCCGCTTTTCGTTTTCTTCTTACACAAATCTGTGTTCCAGTATTTTTAGAAATGTGTTGTAATCGACACACACCTCATTGTATTTAGAACTAATTATGAGTTAATTAAAATATTTCACCTGACATTTTTCTATGAAGAAAGAAAAATATCATTATTTTAACTCGTCATTTATTAAAACACATTATCATCGTTTCATCTTCTTAGAAAAAAAAGAATGTTTTGAATTACTTAACACATTTGTGAAAAATAGAGAGTATATCATCATCATTTTCATTGTACATTTCAATTTGAAGTAGAAGTAAACATTTATTTTTTTTTTTATCATAAATTTTAACACATTGAATTCAATTACCGTTATTTTACTATCTATTCAGACAAATTACCACCTGATTAGACATTTTTCGTGTTAGTGTTAAAAAAGCACTATCTAAAACTGAATGATTCTGATAGTTTTTTATTCTATTTTCACATAATTACAAAACCATCTCTACTTTGATCATGTATCGAACGAACATTATTTGTTACATATTAATCGAGTGGAACTATAGACACAAGTGTTAATATAATTATTTGAGAGAAAAGAGAAGAAATAAAACGGTTTGCGGTTGGGATTATTAATCAGTATAATATTTGACACATATTACGTCCAAGGAGATTCCGACTTTATACTTTCAAAGTAAGTGAACACATTATTCATGTTAGTTATTTTTTCTTGCTTTCAGATCATAGAAACGCATCTTCATGAATTTTGGAATTTCAATTGAACTTACATCGATATTGTATTCATCGAATAGACAGAAGAAAAACGATGAAAATATCTTAAGTCTCTCATTACAACATCAGCAATTAAGTTCATTTACTAACACAAAATTTCAGCCATTATTACGTCGATCAAATGTAAAAAAATCATCAATATCGACTGGCCGAATAGCAAATAAACAAGAATATCAACAACCACCATCTGCAACTCTATTTTTAAGGTCCTCAACACCAAAGTCAACATTAAAAGTTATTCGAGAACATCTAAATGAATCAATTCATTCCAAAAAAGGTATTAATAGTCTTTTTGATTGTGTTTTAGATACCGTAGTAGTTCGTATGACAGGAATACCTTTGATCGTATTACTAAAATATTATGTGACTAAGTTGTTGCTCATGTTTATTGAAAGACATTGTACTACATTTTGTTTGTACGCGAAAAAAAACAGTCTTTCTTTGAAAAGACAGTAGACGCATTTATTTCAAGTGCAAAATCTAAATTGTATCCATAATTTTATTCTGCACTGCATTCATTCTTGTTACAGTGCTCCCTAGTTTTTCATATTGAATAAAATTAGAATTATTTTTTTGCTATTTAGTATCTAATTGATTATGAAACACTTCTAAAATAATTTTATACAGTTACCACTCTTCTCAGTTGCCCATCTTCACTTCTTGATAGTAATCACCTTTCTGTCTTTGAATAAATTAACTTGAACATTCGAATAGAAAGTATGACAGTTTTATGTTAAATGAATATAAATAAAGTTAAAAACAAGCGACAGGATATCCTTGCCGTTTTAGATGAGACTAAATGTAAAAAAATTGTTTAAATTTATTGTGAACAGCTATATTGATCAATAAACAAAAAAAAAAAACTGAAAGCTGCGAGAAGCACTTGACATATTTTGTGACCATTTTGCACTTTAGCGACAAAAAAATCTCTATGATGAAGTTATAAATTAAACTTAAAACATGAACTCTTTGACACTATATTGCAAAAAGAAACGTGAGAGAAAGAACTGAGTAAAAGTTAACTTCTTCTATATCTCTTATAACCTTAATCCCTTCGTTACAGTTACATGACGCCTTTGATTGACAAGTAAAAAGCTCAAGTGAACTCCTTATTATCATGTGTGTTTAATTTGAGACTTAATTCTGTATGTTGACAACAAGAGTTTAGTTTCCAAAATCATTTGTGATAAGAAGATGTCGTTCCCTTTGATGTTTGACGAACACTTTATAGGCACTAGCTCTTCTCAATTTTTCTACTTATAGAAAAAAAGATTTTCTTCTATTACCATTATTATTATTTTAACTACACTTGAACTTTTGAGAGATAATTGCTAACATGAAAATTAATTTTTATACAAGAGTTTATTCTACAATTATAAACTCTTTAAATGATGTATATACTTGTCGTTCGTTCTATTGATCATTTCTCAATTCTCTCGTTCTCAATAGTTTAAAAACACAAACATGTACATATAGCCGAAAAGTGACTGTTGAACAACTTGTTGACTTTCCGATTTAAAGAAGAAATCAAATGAAACCATTGTAATATTGATAATATATAGTAAATACAATGTTGTTTTATGTAACGAAGGCGCGGCTTTTTGAACATGCACATCTTTGGTGATTTTGATAGTGAAAAATCGAAAGGCACACCCATTTTATCGTATTTTTCTTTGTATATTAGCATTAACACATTAGAATTTTTTTCATGATAATATCATCTTATTCATTCATACATAATTTCTAACATTTTCCATGGTGTCCTCTGCAATATCCTAACAAATCATAAATATCTGTCTTGGTGCTGAACGAATACCATATTTTTTAACATATAACATTGTATAAATAGATAAACTATATTAAAAGTAATTTTATTTGTTTTAGCTCGTTTATCATCACCTACTCCAAGTCCTCGTTGTTCTACACCATGGTATTCAAAACAACATCGTACTCGTCCGTATATTGTCTGTGAATTATGTCGTCAAAAAGCAGTCATGTCTGTAGTAGATACATCATTATCAGCGAATATTTCTAAAGTTAAAAAGAAACATACCACATTTAATAGTACAAAAATGCATCAAAATTATCCAAAATTAGTTAAAAAATCTCGTCGATCCTCCATGAACCAACTACTTGTATGGATCTTGTGATCAAAGAATTTTTGACCAATATTAATTGTACATAAAGCGAACACATCGATTATTTTTCTATCATCCATATTTTTATATTCTTCACAATAGGAACAGTATTACATATTGTATTATGTAATAATTGAAATAGTAGATGTTAAAGACTAAAAATCGAAGTTTTGAATTTGATAAATACATTTTCTGTTGTATATCGATTATTCTTTGTTACTGAAGCCAAAAAATTTTCATTCCGTTAGAGATACTACCATTTAATATTGAACTGATTATCATTTTGGTGAATAGCTAACATCAGTGTGAGGACAACTGTATCATATCTTGTACGCATAACATAACATGAAAGAGTGATTAAAATTCTTCACTCTACTTATTCGTTGAGATATTTATCACTTTTATAAAAACGTTCTGGTGATCACTGCAATTATCAATTATTAGTGTGATGTCATTTTGTTCTGAAGCTTTTGACTCAAATAAACGATATTTGTATAGAGTAAATTTGACTAATGAGTCCGCCCTGTTGATCAGTAAAATATCAGCCGAATCGATCGGGATAGGAATGTTCCCTTATAATAACTTGTTAACGATATGCAGAATGGGTATCAATCCTTAGTGGAAATGAAACGTACTGTTTCTGTTCAGTTAAGTGTCCACCAAGACTCACGAAAACTACATAGCCTATTAACTGCATATCGAAAAAATCGACTTTTAATCGGCTAAAGCAGCCCGTTAACAGACATCATTTTTTCTCCGTTATTTCATCGGGAATCATGGTCTAAAACCAATCATTTAACTGTATGTATCTAAAACTAAAATTCACATTGGTCGTTAACTGCCTGTTAGCATGCCATTTTCGAACAATTAATATATTAGGAAAAAACTAATATTTAACGTTGATAGTTAAATGTCTGTTTGTGAACAAACCATTCATCCTTTTGTTTCACTACTTTAACTAATATAAATATGACGTTAGCTACTTTGAGAAAAATTTGATTATTCAAATCATTGACACTTGTCTCAAGGCAGTAGTCTCTAGTTGAATTTTGTGAACTTAATCTTTGTGACGTTATCAGAAAGAAACTAACTCTAGAAAACATTCAAAAAATAGGTCGTCAACGACCGGTAATGGTGCAATTACGGCCTTAAAACGCACATGATAAAATGTTCATTTTTTGATCATAGTAAAACTGCTACTTTTAGGCATTAATACGTTCCCAGTTTAAATGCATAAAACCGTTCAGAAAATTGTCTGAATGATCTCAAAACGCCCATTTAACAAACATTGGATGAGTTACTAATGTGGGTTTAATAGACAATCAATTAAACCGTTTTTGTAGTCCTGGATGCCTTCAAAAATCCAACAACTATGCATAGTCTTCTAAAGAAAAAGAGAAAACTCTATTCAATCAGCCAGTTTTCTCTTGTTGACAAATTATTAGAGTCGACAGAAGGATTTTATTTCTTTCAATCTTTAATTATATGAGAACTTTTTATGCATATTACATGAAACTTTCCCCACCAAAGGTGTTTTTTGCACAAGATTCTTCAGTAATATTTTAATTTAAAATGTAAAATGATGGTGAAAAGAAAGTATTTTGTACGTGCAAAACATACTCAAATTTAACCCCAAATCAGTATTAGAAAATGTTTTAAGATTAAGTCAAATTCCCTGTCCACTTTAACGCTTTGTAATCAGAATTATCGTTCGTCGTTTATGTATTTTTTAACAGCTGTTGAAAGCTAACTGCCCCCGTTATCGTTCAATAGTTCAACCAAAAGACTTTGTATAGCTCACCAAATCCTTTTAAGCCTTATAAATAATACTACTTTATGAGTCAAACGGTAATATTTTCAATATATATATATCAAGATATCTCTTGTAATTCTATGTTTAGTCTGATCTACTTCAACTTCTCCTTCGTTTAGTTAATTATGTTTTTTATTCTTCTTCTTTGACACAAGTTTTACTATAACTAGTTACTTGTACATTAAGAAAACGAATGAAAGTTAATCGATTTTAGGCGGCAATTGTATTGTACCAATAACTGATTTTCTAGTAAGAAAGTAATTAACAGCTGATTATACAAAAACATGTCTTTTGATGTTTTTCTCTTGTCTCTTCAACTGGGCTACTAGAAAAAGCAGCTTATCACTCGCATTATTACCAGTTTATTTAATATTAGTAAAGTTCTCTATCTCTGATCACTGGTTTAATTATTGATGACAACTATGTGTTTTTCTCGTTTCTATGCTACCAAATCGGTTAGAATATTTGAATATTAAAAAGAAGAAAAAGAAAAATGGTCGAAAAAGAAGAATCGAGACGTCTGGTATTGAACAGACAAGTTTAATAAAAGATAATAAATATTTTGATAAACTTCATAAATACGATTTACAGCATGTTCGATCGTGTTTGTTAGAATATGCATTCACGCGATTTTGGATCGAACCCTCATTGTTACCAACGCGTTTTATCGATAATGATTTAACGTGTTTGAACAAAGGAAATAACATTAGCAATAACAATGATGAAAGTGTGATGAAGAATATTTCTAAAAGTTCTCCATGGTACATTAACTTTGAAACTCAATTTTGTGTTATTCTAATTACTCTCATCACCATTTCATTGTTGTTATTGACGTTGCCGTTTATTTTAAAATCCCAACAAAATTCTATTCGATACAATAGTCAATGTGTTTCATTAAATTGTATTTCGACCAGTCATCGACTTATGGAAAATATGAATATAACATTAGACCCATGTGAAGATTTTTTTAGTTATGCTTGTGGTGGTTGGTACAACAATAAATTTCTCTCACCAAGTGAATCAAGTTATAATTATTTTAAAGAAATTTATCGAAAAAATTTGGAAACATTATATTCTATTTTAAAGGAGCCAGACACAAATTATCATGGATCACATTCAACGTCCATATTGAAAGCAAAACAATACTACAATGTCTGTATGAACACGTACAGAAATGAAAGAACGGCAGAAGCAACAATGAAAACTTTTTTAACACATCTAGGTATCTAAATCACTATATTTTAAAGTTATTTTATTTTAGTATCGGTGTTTTTCTTTAGGTAAATCACCATTATTTGTTGACCATTGGTCATCATCGAACGATTTTGACCTATTAAATAGTCTATTGTACGTACATAAATATAAAATGAATCCATTGTTTCGTGTTGGTATTACAGTTGATGATAAAAATAACGATAAACAATGTATCTATTTTGAACAATCCGGTCTCTCATTTGATCAACGTTCACGTTATTATAATAATGATATAAGAAAATTATTCAAAACATTTGGAGCATCTGTAGCCAGTCTCTTGCGTGGTAATAATGCAAATATAAAAGTTCAACAAACATGGTTAGATCAAGTAGATCAGGTATTTTTATTTGAAAAACGTTTATCAGAAATATTTGAAAGACGAGAATCATTAAATCCATCAAAATTATATAATGTTCGATCGTATAATGAAATTCAATCGTGGTTTTATCCCTGGTTAAATATTGATGTTTATTTGTACAAATTATTTCAACCGTATATTCAACATCAACAAATAATAAGACAACAGTCTAATTTACCATATGGTAACACAAGTTTTTTTCAAAATCAACGTATTCTCGTTCCATCACCAAGATATTTTCAACAATTAAATCAAATTTTGTTAAAAACACCGGTACATATCATTGCTAATTATATTTCATTACAAGTTGTACAAGAATTATTACCATGTATGCCTCAAGTCTATTTACAAGCACGAAAACCATTACTGAACTATTTAAAAGATATTACCGAAGAACGACAACAGTGGGAATTATGTGTAAAAAGAACGGATGAGGCATTCGGCTTTGCAACAGGTATAGATTGATAATTCTATTAAATACTAATCTCACAGATATTATCTTATAGGTGCTTTATTCATATATAAAGCATTCGATCAAACAAGTAAAAAGAAAATTAAACAAGTTGTAGAAGAAATACGAACAGCATTTATCGATAAATTACCCACTTTAGAATGGATGGATCCTGAAACTCGTAAACGTGCACATATCAAAGCGACAATGATAACAGGTAGCTGAAATTGAAATTAAATTTTGAATAATATTGAATTGTTTTTTCATTGTAAAAAGATCGTCTAGGTTATCCCGATTGGTTAGAAAGCTCTCATAACATTGATAAATATTATGAAAATTTACATATATCATTCAACAGTAATACTGTGGAAAATGTGTTACGTGTAAGAAAATTTTATAAAACAAAAAATTTAGAAAAATTTGGTCAACAACCCGATATTGAAGAATGGAAAATGACACCAACCGAAGTTAACGCTTATTATGCTCCGTGGAAAAATATGATCGTTTTTCCTGCTGGCATACTACAAACGCCATTTTTTGATGCAAATATTCCAATATCGTTAAACTTTGGTAGCATTGGAAGTATTGTAGCACACGAACTTATTCATGGATTTGATGCTAGTATATAAAATTTAAAAGTTGTTTGTTCATCAACAATTGATATGACACTTTTCATCTTGCAGGTGGTCGATATTTTGATGAAAAGGGCAATCGTCATAATTGGTGGCAAACCGAATCTGTTAGTCGTTTTGATGAAAGAACAAAATGTTTTGTTCAACAATATTCTAAATATAAAGTTGGAAAAAAGTATATCAATGGTTTATTAACACTTGACGAAAACATAGCAGATAATGGTACGTTTTTCTGTAAGAAATTCATTTATTTTTATTAACTTCTTTAGTTTTACTAAGGAGGTGTACGAATTTCTTATACAGCTTATAAACGCTATTTAAAACGTCATAATGTTCAATCGACTATGCAATTACCCGGTTTAAACTTAACTGAAGAACAATTATTTTTCCTTGGCTTTGCTCAAACATGGTGTATAAAAACAACAGAAAAAGAAGCTGAAGCATCTTTGATAAGTGATACACATTCATTTCCAAAATATCGAGTCATTGGAACAGTGAGTAATATACAAGAGTTTTCAGATGCATTTCAATGCCCACAAGGGACAAATATGAATCCAAATAAGAAATGTCGTATATGGTTCACAGCAACCGATAAATAAATAAATTAATTAAACAATTTTCATATACGATAAAAGTAGTTAGTAACAAAAACTATTGGTACACAAAGAAAAGTAAGTTTTTTGACTTTCTCTCTACTTCCGCTTATAAAAAGATGAGATTACAGATCAACTATTCTATTAATAAAAAATGTACGCTCTTATCTTATATGAATCCGTCAGTCACGACTATTGTTGATAATTCGTCGTATTTTCAGTCTAGTTAAACAAGTCAATTAAATTAAATGATGACTTGTATTTGCATCCTTGGCTCGGGTTCCTTTAGTAAAGTTTTAACCAAAGCGCTACAAATGTATATTCAGTCCAAACGGGAGAATACTGTTACAAAGATTTACTGAAATGTACAACGTCAAAGAGAATACATTGAACGTAGAAGAAACTGTGTCACATTCAAATACTTATGCGTCTCTCTATCGAATAATTCTCACTTGCGCTGTTCTATTATAAACAGAAGAGAGCAGTTGTGGTTATGAAAAGCATGAAGACATAATGGTGAAACAAATTGAATTTATACATCAAAATTTCTTGTCAAAACGTAAATAATACTATTGAAAGAATAGTTCGATCAAAATCACTTGAAACATTCAAAATCATGCAACGATTGCTTTGTTATAGTGAAAAAGTACCATTGTGTAAAAATTACTGATAAATTGATTATACTACATAGCTATTTATTAAAGAAAAGACATGTAGAAAGACATTCGTATTTGGTTGATACACAAATGAAACAGATAGATGCAGAAGACTATATGATTACAATAAGAAGTAGGAAAATGAAGATATTGTCGATGTTATGCTGGAATAGCTTAGTAGTAGTGCGAACATAACGATATAGATCACTAATTTTTTATGCCCAGTGATTTGTTGACAAAGGGTGAATGTGACCTGTATATAATAGAAAACGTACGAAGTAAAACGAAAGGTTATTTCTTGTTGATGATGTATGAAGAAGTGAAACAAATGTGGATAAATCTATCGAATGAAAGGGACATGAATAAAATAATTATTGGATTAAAGAAGAATATTCATGATAAATAGAGAAAGTTATTGAAAGACAAACATAGTGAATTCAACTGAAGATGATGAGACTGGAGATTAAGTAGAATGAATAATTTGAATTGCGAATAATTGAAATTGCGAAGTTTTGAAGTAGTTCAACTAGTAGAAATCTAAAAATCGTTGTAGAATACATAATATAAGCTGAAATAAGTGACATTATTATTCAAAATATAATATTAACCAAATGCCCAAATAGTTATCTTACTTGTCACGACAAAAGCTAAATTCATTAAACTACCTGTTGTGAAATGAGTGGACAACTTTTGCATACATAATTAGGAATAATTACCGAAAAATGGCTTATTTGAACTCATCAAGATGTGATGGTGCTAAGTTTGGATGTTGTAGATGTTATAGTGGTGATCGGCGATTTAGACTTTTTAGACCTTTAGACTTTCTTCTAGAATAGGGCAGCCTAGCCATGGGGGAGGGGGGCATTTTAAGTGTGAGTCACCATACTCAAAGCTGAGCACTTTTGGATGTTGTAGATGTTATGGTGGTGATCGACGGTTTTGAACTTTTAGACTTTTAGGATGTGCTCCCTATCATTTAACATTCATTGCCGTTCCTCAACTTGAACTTCTTGTATGGTGACTCACTCTCATGCTGCTGCCCCCTCCAGCTAGTCTGACCTTTTCTAGAAGAAAGTCTAAAAGTCTAAAAAGTCTAAATTGCCGTTTACCACCATAACATCTACAACATCCAAAATTAGCACCATTACACCTTCCTCTTTGGATTTGAGAACATAAGCAAAAAATTTAAAATTTTTAAATAATAATCAACCGTTAATGCCTGAGTGACGTTAGAATATACAGCGAAATATTCTAATATTTAGAAGTAAATTAAAACAAAAATTATTTAATAAATTTCTGAAATTCATGCCTGAACAACAATCTGTTAAAATTGAATAACGACAGTAATAATAAAAATAGAATGAAACAAACCGAAGATAATGATAGAGTAGCGGACTTAACAACAAGAAAATTAACAATAGAAAAACAGACATTGAGTTCCGAACTGAACTTTATACCGTCAGCAAGTTTAGATACGTGTAAATATGTAATTCATGTAATAGCCGATATTGAATTTGTTTTATAGCACAAACATGAAATTCTACTGATCAATTTCTGTCAAAGTCTACGAAACAAAAAATAAAACTAAGAACTTAAGTAAACAACAGTTTCAAGTGTTATAAAGGTTAAAAAATGGCAAGGGAAGGAGAATTCTAGGAGCTGTTAAGGGAAGAATTATAGTCGTCTTAGACGCTATAAAATATACGGAACAAAGGAGGGAGGCCGATAAGAGGCAAAATCGGTCCCCTCACAGATAAACCTCAAATTAACCGATCTGATGTAGTTTTTGTCGGCAATTAACCCCAACATATTTTTTTTGCTTCATTCCCTCTGGAAAAATTTTCGAGACCAAAACTTTTCTTTCAATAAATGAACTTTACTCACACTCTAAAAAAAATCGTTCGCGGTCGTTTCAAAATGAAAAACTCATGATTTTTGGGAGAGTTTTTTGGGTCTAAAAAACTAACAGGGTTTTTAAAAAGTTTTTTTTAGACCCAAAAAACTCTCCCAAAAACCGTGAGTTTTACATTTTGAAACGACCACGAATGATTTTTAGTTTTTTGGCCTAAAAAACCCGTTAAAAAATTCTTCTGGGATTTTTGATCAGTTTTTTAGTTCAAAAAACTCTTTTATTGTAGTTTATTAATCTAAGACTTTTTTTTAGAGTGTAGAGTATTTTAATTATTTCATCGCTTTCATTTAGAGCAAGCCTCAACTATCATATACCGTTCGACAGAGAATTCTACGAGTTACAAAATGCTATATAAAATATTCAAAAGAAAATGTAACTAGGTGGTCTTCTATAAATTAGGATTTGAAAAACTACTTTGTACCTCATTCTGTAGCCCTTTTAATCCTGCATCTTTCTATATACAAACGATGCTTAATCTCTGTCTGTAAAAGAAACTATAATCATTTTTATGTGCCACTATAAACGAGATACCTGGCAACTATTTTTGTCTAATACATTTACGAAGGTAGTCTTTGAAAATAATGCGTTATAACTCATTTTTTAGCCCGTGAAATTCTCTATCAAACGGTATATGAAGTAGAGTGGTTAACGAGAAAATAAACGAATATTATAAACACGAACGATGTATAACGAACGATCTATAGGTCAATTGGTATACCGGTTTGCTGACATGCTACCGAGGATTTCATCTTAGACTACCCGGTTGCATTTTCTTCTGAATATTTTATATATAAGATTTTATATTTTGTAACTCGTAGAATTCTCTGTCGAACGGTATGTGATAGTTGAGGCTTGCTCTAAATGAAAGCGATGAAATAATTAAAATACTCTGAGCAAAGTTAATTTATTGAAAGAAAAGTTTTGGTCGTGAAAACTTTTCCAGAGGGCACTGAATCCAAAAAAATATGTTGGGGTTAATTGCCGACAAAAACTACATCAGATCGGTTAATTTGAGCTTGATCTGTGAGGGGACCAATTTTACCTTTTATTACACACAAGTATATACCAAGTTCTACGAAAAGATCTGAGGAAGAAAAAAAATACACAAGAAATCGAGTATTTCGGTTAAAAAAACTGAATAAAAAAACTATTTCAAAACAACAAACATTTTTAAAACAAAAACGTATACCAATTGTAAGAGCTCCAGTTATAGTACATAAGGAGGAGAATCTAGTACGATTAATAGTAGCGATGAAAAATACAGTGCATTCAGAACTAGCGAGTTATGTTACAAGCTGTTTAAAAAGAATAAGTGATAGGGCAAGATCAATTAAAAACACACAAGACTTTTTAGATAAAATAGAGACGATCACAAGAGATAAGATTATAATTTTATCTCTTGTGATCTTCTCTATACTACTATAGTAGTAACGTAACGTTAGAGAGTTTAGGTGTAATAGATCTTTTTATATCATTTGATAAGAATGTTACAATTGAGACATTACGTCAAGTTTTAGATAATGATAATCATTGAATAGTAGATAAAAGTTTTGCAAAAGAAGGTATAATTACGCTAATCTGTTTACTGTATGCATTACGTAGTTTTGTTATTATAATGTTTATTAAAAACGAGGTATGTTCTAATCAACTGCTGATAATCGTTTCTTTGTTATGATTGCCGATAAGCTCATATTCATGCTCTCACAGTCTGAGTGCATGGAACGAAAAAAATACAAAGTATATAGATAGAAATATAACAATGTTTGTTAATTCTTATTTTTATCTAAAAGTAAAAAGTGTTAAAATTCACTTGTGTATAAAAAGAGAAAAATCTATAGAAGTCAGTTGCTCAAGAGTAACAGTATAGCATTCTATACTTCTCAAACGTGTACAAGGTTCGACTACAGAATGAGTCGCCTGAAAATTGTTAACGTATTGAAATAATTAAACATGTTCGGAATATCTGAGCGCTCTTTGTCGACACGGTCGAATATCTCAAATTTTTTTGTTTAGTATTAAACGCGCAAAAAAAGAAACAGAATGAACGGAAAAATATTGGAACGATCACTAACGGGTGATCCAGAAATAACTCAACACTTTCGGAAGTTGAATTACTCTAAGTAACTCAGTGCTTGAAGGTTTTATTTTATAGTCAAAAGATGCAGAATTTAACTCTCTACAAAACTCAATATTTGATTTTGATATTAATTGTAATTCTTCTACATAATATTCAAAATATTAGAGTATCCACGTTTTCAACTTAATCCCATGTGTAAATCTATTCTGGCATCATATTATGCAAGAAACGCATTATGGATTGAAACAAAATACATCTGCATCTTTCGATGGAAGAATAATTTTCAAAAAGTTGAGTCAAACAAAAAAATCAAATATCGAACTTTGTAAAGAACTAAATTCTGCATATTTTAATTGTATCTTAGAAAGTTTTTTAGAATGATACCGTTACTATTCTAAGAACTTTTCAGAACGGTTACATCTATGGTATAATTGATTTTATGATGGACATGTACACATTGTGATCTGATATAATTTTCAATTAGTTTGAAGATAAAATATGATATTATAATGATACTGTAGTTCCACTAAACATTTTCATATTGAGCACCATTACAAATTAACAAATTGTTTTATGACAAGAAGAAAAAGCTTTACGTCAGAAAATAGATATTTGTTTTTAAGCTTGAAGACAAGATTTGAGGTACAATTAAATAAATTCTAATGAGATTTTAACATCCGATATATGTAACCTCATAGAAAATAAATATAAGTGGTAAAAACACAAGATACCGTTTGAAAAAAGTTGCGGAAGAGCTGAAATTAATCAGTATAATTTGTATCATATGTGTTACAATAAGGAAAAAAACGAGCGAATAGTTAACGATGGTGATTTTAACTTTCTTTTGGCTAAATTGTATTTTTAAACTTTTTATAGTACAAATTAAGAGATTTTTTTCTACTAAATAACGCGTGACAAAAGGTGATTATTTAAGTAATCTGGAAATTATATGCTCTAGGGACTATTGAGATACATACTATTAATTGTTGTCGTTATTAAGCAGGATAAGGCATGTACACATCGCGATAGATGCCCCGACAAAAAGAAATTTACCAGCACTTGTATGGCACGAGTATGAAAACTGGTGCGCACCAGTATGAAAACTCAAAATTTTTCCTGTCACTCTTATACATTCGTATCCAATAATTGTGGTTGAGATAAGAAATCTCCTTATTTTACCAGTGCAGAAGTTAATCTATGTTAAATTTTATTTTTTAATCATCATTTTGTTTTGTCAACGTCTATCTATGTAAACATCACAGTATACTTGTAGTATTTCAAATGCCCGTTTGACTTTATTTTTTCCTTCTTTTAGTAGAAATATATCAACATTGGTTGGTACTTGTACGCATCGATGCACACTGTACTGGCAAAGTCATATTGAAATGTTTTCTATAGGATAATCGCAAATCTCTTATGACAGTAAAACATACGTACATAAACAATAGTTTTTCCAACGTAAGAGATATATCTGGACAGTTTTCAGTTAAATATGTGTCCAATGTAATCGAAACCGTTGGTGTCCTGATTATTAGAAATCCAAATTCTATGCTGCAGATCCTAGTTACAGATTATTAAAAATAAATAATTGGATATTGTATTACATTTGAAAAGATAATAATACTTGTTAGTGGAAGAACAAATTGAAACCCTAATATCATCATATACTATATTTATCGGTTGATATGACAATTTTCTTTTTTTAGGATTTTTAATTGAAAAAAAAACCTGAAATTTCTATAATAGTGGACTAGATGACATTGTCTTTTTATTTCTCTTTCTCTTTCTTAATATTTTAAAAATATCCTCAATTAACGTTTCATATAATAATAATTATAATAGTCAGAGTAAGGGAAAGAACAGGAGGTAAATACACATCAAACAAAAAAATAAAAAATAATTTTTCATAATAACAACTACCGACATTCATTGCATGCTTGTTATATCATCAGTTCATGTCAACATTCTTTAAAAAATAATCGGCTTTCTCTTTTTTTTATTTTTCTTCTTCTTCTTCTCTGCATAATATTTTTGTTTAATACCCATTGACTTCTCTCTTTCTCTTACACGTTGTGATTATTGTTTTATTTTTTTATTCGTATTTAACTATGATTAAATTGTTCATTTTTAAAAGATGTCTACCTGTTCTCGGACCTTTGAATAAATTTGTTCCGTCATTTTCTATATGCGTATATTACCTCTTATTTTGTAATTTCTAACAGATTTATATTTAAAGGTGAGATGAATTTGACAATGTAAGGTTTCAATACTATTGACTTTTAGTATTACAAGTTGTGGCTTTTTTGTCATAGGAGTTAAATTAATTTTTCTTTTACTTTAAAAAGAGTTAAATTAATTTTTCTTTTACTTTAGAAAGAGTTAATTTGTTAAAAACTTGTCCATTTCTTTATTGATAACAAGGTTCATGTTATCCCATAATGTTTATAGTCGTAAAAAAACACGGTTTTTTTCTTCTTCTTTAGAATTCTTTCTCCTATATATTCACTAAGTACAATCTTTTGTTAACTTAAGAGACGGTATGTTGACAAGAAAATATTGCCCAAAGCTAAATAGTAATGTTGATGACGCTAATATATAATTAGACATTAGTAATGAAGAAAACTCATCTTAAAAAATCAAAACATCGTTTTTTATCGAATAAATCACAAAGTATAACGGATGAAAAACATACTGGTTGTATAACGTCAGCAGAACCGATTAATTATATAAAAACTGAAATTCAACTTGGATGTGGTACAGCACATTTAGATCAATCAAATTGTTTAAAAACAAAATTAAATTTAAAAACTGAAAAACAATTAAAACGTGATTTATTACGTGTAACCGATCAACGTCCATCTTTACTCGGTAGTCAAACTCTTCATCCATCTCGTTCATTTCCCACAATTCGAAAAATAGCTAATGAAACATCGAATCATACATCGAATGATAGACGACGTTCATCATCATCATTATCAAGTATTAATTTTAATTTGACACCTTTTGATCGTATTGGACCGTGGCCTGATAAAACAATAAATCGTTTACGTAATGCCAATGAATTATTACATCCATCAAAAAATTTTCGTAATCGTCATAATATACGTCTATTTAGTCCTAAATATTATGCAACTATGAGTGAACAACAAAATAAATTTACATTTTATTCAAATACAAAATCTTATATTGATGAATATCGAAAACGAAAAGGTTATATACTTGGTGGTACATCGTCTATATTATCTAGTCAACAAAATCTAGATACATTGGATAATAAAAGTGATGATGATCAATTATCGGTTGTACCAAATCAAACGAGAGAAAATAGTCGAACATTTTTATCTACTGAAACAATTTTTAATCAAAAATCTGATCCATTTAATCATAACTCTGTAAATTATCTAAAATCATCTGAAATTTTTGTTGATAGTTCATCGAATGATCTACTCTCAATATCATCGACAAAAAATCAACAATCAATACGTTCTGAACCTCTATTAACTCTGCCACCAATTACAACAAAACAAACTTATTTGAATGATCAACTATTCTCGTCGTCATCAATTTCAATGAGAAATGGTCATTTGAGACCAATGGGGACAAATTCTCGAACAATTCCATTACCATCATTGCCAACATCACGTTATTCGAATATAAATCAAATGGGAAAAACTTATGCTATAACTACAGAAGGAAAAAAATTTGAAAATACAAATGCAAAATTATTCGTCATCGAAAGTAGACCAGTTATTACAGAAAAGAAAAAGTATGTTAATATGCAATATTATTATTTTTCTCTCACTAGTTTATGGACTTGTATGCATTGTATCTATGAAACAGAGATTTCTTTTCCCATGCTAAGTTGATCTGTTGTAGTCGTCTGTCATTAGAGGAGTAATTAAAACACCCTATTGAAATTTCAACAGAGATTCACGAACTTATTAGCTGAATATACGAAAATTAATAACTATTATGTGCACAAAATACAAGTTTTTTCAAAAATTTCACTCATTCGAGTCTCTCAGTTATTGCAATCTGTCACTATCACTTTATAGTACCGAGTACTTCCGAACTATAATAAAGTTTTTTATCCACACTGCAAAACTTAATATTTTTCTTACTCTTTGTCTCAATTTGTAGTTTTCTCTTCCATTAATCTTAACATATATTTATCTTTAATGCTAATACAAACAAAAAATGAAACCAAAATCAAGTAGGTCCACTTAAGACGTCAGCATTCTTTGATGAAAAAGAAAATCTTTCTTTTTACGGTTCATTTGTATTGCTTAAGTGCAACAAAAATATTAAAAAAGAAATAAAAGTAAAAAACAAATCAAATTAAAAATAATAGTAACAAACATTAGCATAAAAATCGCCAGATATGTAGCTACTCATTAATCTATAAGTATATGTTCGTTAAAATTCAGAATTAAACACTTGACTTTTGATACTCTATCTATATACTAATGTATAGGATTAAAATAGACTATACTGTAGACTTGCACCAAAATCAAAAGAATGAACGGATAATTCTAAAGTGAAGTCTTTGTTTCTCAAGTAGTTTGATTCCTTCTCATTTGCACACATTTTTTTTATTGTAATGTTATTTGTCTACTAAACAGTTCTAGACCACTTCATCGTATTCACAATGATATTGAGGTAACTGATAAGAGGGTTACTAATGTGTTTTCAGAGTGCTTAACATTTCATTATGTTTTTGTTTGATGAGATTAAAGTCTGATTAACTATTACAAGAAAACTAATTTTCTACTGATATATGCTTTAGTTGTACTCACGAGGGAACCGCCCCTTCCGATTCCAATGATTTGTACATGAATCTATAGACCACAGTGAGGTAGTAAATACCCTAAAAGGATTCGTGCCCATGACTCTTGAAGATCCGGTTTTCTGGAAAACCAGTTTTTCAAGAACGCCAAAAAATAACCAAAATCCTTTTTTAATCATACAAGATTGTAGCCCGCACATTTCTGATTAAAATGAGTCATCTCCCAACTCTACGCGACCTTCTTTGCAAGGTTATAGAATTTACAAAAAAAGCCGTAAATTAATTTCTTCTTATTTCTGTAGCTTTGAGCTGACAATGCACATTTACGGCTTTTCTTGTAAATTCTATAACTTTGCAAAGAAAGGTCGTGTAGAGCTAGAAGATGTCTCATTTTAATCAGAAATTTGCGGGCTACAACCTTGTATGATTAAAAAAGAGTTTTGGTTATTTTTTGGCGTTCTTGAAAAACTGGTTTTCCAGAAAAACGGATCTTCAAGAGTCATGGGTACGAATCCTTTTAGGGTATTTACTACCTCACTGAGATCTATCGATCTGTGTACAAATCATTGTAACCGGAGACATCTTGAAAGGTTCTCTCGTCAGTTTTAACTTGAGTTTTAAACAATTTTAAACAAATATCGTTTGATTTAGATCTTATCGTCCAATATGCAAAATCACCCTGAGTTTCGACATAGCGAGCAGCGACCGTTGAAAGGTGGTATATTTTATAAATTAAATCATCAATCAAACCATGTTACAAATATATTACCAGCAAAAACTTCCAATAGTGATATTGCTAATTATACAGTTTTGGCTTTACACTTTTAATCAAAAATGTTCACATAAGAAGACGACAAATAGATTTCATCACAATTATTTATATCACCAATGATTTAAATCTAAAATTTTATCCATAAAGAGACAGCCTGTCTATGGACGTGAAATTAAAAATAAAAATAAAAGATTAAATTAGTCAATGATACTGTTATCTTCTCTATTAAATGTAGGAGTTGTTAAAACTAACATTAGAATCAAAAGTTTTTTCTGTCACTGTAATGAATTAATAACTAGGTTAGTGTAAAAACTGATTTTTTCCATTTGCTACGAAGAAAGAATTGCGTGTGTAAATCTCTGATGTATATATAATTCAAAATAAATAGTTAACTACATTTGATAGTCATGTACGAAACAAATTTATTGTAAAATAGGGATAATCATTGCCCGTTACAATGTATTCAACTTGATGTCACTGTAAACATCCGCATCACGGAATCAATATTCAATTTTCGCATGATAATAAATTATCCTGAATAGCAATTTTCGTGAAAAAAAACCGTATATCTTCTTCATCTTGGGAACAGAGAAAATGAGGAGCAAACTTGAAAAATTAAAGATTAGTTTTGATTCTAGCAGTATTTTTTTCAGATTACGGAATAGCTTTTTATTAAAGCACGACTATATATTTTTTGAAATCACTATAAATATAGAGAAGTGTGTCATTGATCATTATTGAACGTAGTATACGTCTAACCATTTCAATTTCAAGATTATTCACACAATCATGTATTTATTCATTTCTCACATGTTAATTGTCATTACAAAAAAATGAAAAATCCGAAAACAACGACAATTTAGCTAAAAAAAATGAGAAACACTCATTGATTAATTTACACACACACACACACACACACACACACACACACACACACACTCACACACATGCATATAAAAAGTAAGCAACGTTTTTGTTGTTTGGTGCAACACAAAAGAGTGTCGATTTTGAATCAAATGCAAAAACAAAATACTATCTGTCTATATGAACAGACACACCAAAGTTTAATAAACATGCATCTATATATGAATCAATCACATAAAATAAACGATGATTAATAAAATGGCAAGATAATTATCGCTGTACATGTATTCAATTTTCTGTTGGTAAAAAAAAACATTTACAAAAATACTGTACACTCATACACAAAAGATAAATAGGACGCTCACATACACACATACACACACACACACAGATCACGTTAAAAAGTGGTCATCATGTCACCGAACAACTAGAATGGCAAGGTGTAACAAAATAAAAATTGGACGATTAACAAAAGTCTTAAGAAATGTGTTAATGTGCAGTAGCACCACTAATAGATGAATGACGTTTAATAACGTCAATACATCCATTTAATGTTTCTTGTAATATTTGCTCAAATATCATATCAGCAATTTTCAATTTAATTTCAACACACTCTTGATCATAATTAATCCAATTTGGTTCTTGTCGTCTTAATTCATCATACAAAACAGTTTCAAATTGATCACGACGTTTTGGATTACGCCATTTTGAATATTGAACTTTACGTGGTATTAAACCGAGCATTTCCAGAATCTAAATAGTAGACCAAATGAATTTTATAGACAATGTAATAAGACAAATTTTGAATTAAATATTGTTAGCAAAATTTACTTTTTCATTAACGAATTTTTGTGCGTCGTTCATATTCCTTGGTGGATTTAATTGACGATAGTAACGTTTTGGAATGAGTTGTGCTTTCTGCCATGGATATTGGGCTTGCCGAACATTTGGCATATACATTTCGGTCAATATTTCAATACATAAGTCATAAATCATTGATTGATAAGCATGTTGACTACGTCTTTCAATTTCATCGACTGAATATAGTATAAACAACAATATAAATTATACATAGAAACAGAAAACAAAAGAGAATATACGTTCAAACCTTGTTCCGATATTTGAAAATAATCATCTGGTATTGTTTTATTGATTTTTGATGGATCCGAAAAATCTCTATTCTGTTGGAATAAAATGGTCATTGCACGTTTACAAATGTCATTAACATCTTCCAATGTATGAGGAACAACTGGTTTAATTTGCTCTTCAACAGCTGGCTTTCGTGGACTCTCAATTCTTGGTTCATCAGCTAAAACAAGATAAACGTTCAAACATTTAACTATTACATTAGATAATAGTAGTGTAATTGATACTTACCACCCTTTTCATCTAACCGACTTAAGTCGAGTTTTAAGTCATCCTAAATAACACAGAAAAAAATATGAAATATAGATTATTTAATAATATTATTAAAATTGTACCTGTTCGACACCGTTTGCTCCATTGATATTAATTTCATCGATAAAATTAGCTTGGCTTGAGAGCGTGCGTATAAATGCACTAAAAGATGAACAAAATTAGTCCACATTTATATTTTTAATGAAAAAACATAACTTACTCAAGGTCTTCATCATTTTCATGTTTTGTCTGCTGTTTTTTATCGATGTTCTCATCATCATCACTTGTCTCGTCATCCGATACCCATTCACTTGCTTCTTTGGTCAGATGTGTTATCACTGACGAAGTTGTAACATTTACTGATGATATATTTTTCGACAGTTTTTTTTGTTTAATAACGCTACTTTCTTTGATTGCTTCATTAATAAATGTTCGAATAAATTGATCGGTAACGTGATCAATTTTCTGCTCATTCGATATTTTCTTCCCCTGTTTTTGATTTTGCTCCTGATCGTCTTCTGGTGTGGGTGTCGTTCTGATTTGTTGATTTAAAAAAAAGTCATCAATGTTTTCGTTAATATCCAACTGTTCATCTTCTTGCTCTTGTTCTCCATCTTCATCTGGTTTTTCACTAACATCATACATTGTATCATCACTTTCATCGGTTGGGCTCTTCTTACGTTCATCCTCATCAATAACTACTGGTTTTTCATCAGATTTCAATAATTTATTTTCTGATACTAATTCATGCTAAATTGAAAAATGAATCGTATGTAATTCTAAAATTCAAGTTTTCTCTCAGAATACCTGTTTTAATAGAAGATGATCGGTCAACGATGCATTTGGATCTAAACGTGGCGTATTATTGGCTGATTTCTTCACTAACACCAATATTTCTGATTGTTCACCACTTGATTTTGATGTTTTTGATGATGATTGTTGACTTTTAGAAAATTGTAAATCTTCTTGTATTGATTCAATACCAATATTATCTGCATCATCCTCTTTCATCGGCTGTTCAATGAGTTTTTTGGATGGTATGGGTAATGTTGAAGATGATGATGAAGATTTTTGTCGTACTTTATCTGGAACAGCAGCAGAACGACTTGCATCTGAAAAATCTTCATCATAATCAACCGATGTACGATCGCTCGTAGATAAATCAGCTGAATTTATCCTTCCTAATGGAGGAAGGGTTGTAGGCTTAATTTGACTTATTGACTAAATTAATTAATCAAAAATAGAATAGAATAAAACTAAATACTACAAGAACAAACCTTTTCTTTTTCTGGTGGCGGTACAATACTTTTTTCTTGATTGATCTTAATATCTTCGGGCTCTTTTTTACGAGATGGTGGGTTTGTTGAAGAGGACGAAGAAGAAGATGAGGATTTCCATGGATCATCTTTAAATACATCTTTTTTCAAAATATTATCAATCGGTTTTACTTTTAAAGACGTTGGAGAAGGTGAACGAGATTTTTGTTTTTCATCTTCCAAAATATTAAATTTAATTAGTTTATTACTTTCTCTAAAATGATTGAAGAAAACAATAACATTTTTCACAGTTACTTTCAAACTTTAACTCACGTTTTATGGTCCGTATCTACTTGACTATTATTAGAACGTTCCGCTGTTGATATCGAATGTGCATCATGATTTGTACGATCATCTCTTGGAGAAAATAAATCGATCGATTTTTGTTGTTCAACTTTTTTCTCTTGTATTTGTGTCACATGTTTATCTTGTTGTTTATCACTAATACTATCATCATCATCAAAAAAGTCTTTATCATCGACTAAATGATCATCATTTTTCTTTTCATGTAATATTGGTTTTTGTTGAAATATTAAATAATCATTATCTCTAGTTTTAGATTGTGACTAAAAAATACATACAAATCAATTTAGCAAAAATAAATGACAAAAAAAGAATATTTTCTGATAATACTTTATCTTGTTGACTTTTATCATCGCTTATTGATTGTTGTATTTCTTCAACAATACTTTGTTCGGGTGTTAATATTCGCATTTTTCTTGCATCTCCATTGGCAATGATTCTTGCTAAAAAAATGAGAATATAAAAAGTAGTAAATAAATCTGATGAAAATTAATATTAACTTACGTTGTGTTTGTTGTATAGGTCTCTCTGGACTTTTCGATAGCGGTCGTGTTGGTGTTGTTGATGAAGAAGAGGAGGATGATTGAGATTTTTTATCTGTCACTGTTTTTAATTCAACTGATTTCAATTTTCCATGTACTATTGAGTGAATACTTGATGATAAAGATTTTTCTGTTTCTGTTGTTGGCGTTAATACAACAGGATAAATTGGTGGCATCGAATCAACATGTTGACGAAGATTCTGAATTTCAGTATCACACGACTAGAAAAAAGAGTAACATCAAGTAAGATATACAGTTCGATTCTTGTTCGAAAAAGAGAATACTGGATACAATACAAATAATTGACAAGTGTTGCATGATAAAAGCAGTGATCTAATCTTTAAAATTGATTAAACGAAATCTGTTATTGTTAGAATATGCCTTTGACTAATCAACCCACGCAAAGAAGAAGAAGAATACCTGTCTTGCAGCTACCATTACTGATGTGGAGTATTGACAGGTATCAGCTTTAATATCCCGATATCTTCCCTATAGTTGGCAAGCTCCTGGCACGGTCACCCACGTCGTTACTAGTTATTAATTGCACCTCTAATTGCCTAACGTTCAATTCGCTTCAGTAAACTACCTGAGCTCGTTATACACACTCATGAATCACGTACTAGATTTTTTGAAAAGCTATGAAGATGAACTGGGGGGAAACTGTATCAACATCATGATTATGTTATCGAAGAAGTGATCCGAGGTATCCAGACGTGAATAACTTATGTTAAAGATAAGAGAAAGGAAAAGGCGAACAGTTCAGAGATATTACGCCAATTTTTGGTTGAATTTTAATCTTTTAATTGCACAGAATCATTTTGATTAAAACGTTATATGAACTGTGACCAATGGATCATGAATTAGATGAGAGTATCGATAATTAAGTGTGTCTCAATATCGGCGACGGTATCCTTTTTCTATCCGACGTAGTTATTAAAATACTGCCGATATGTTCTGGTATTATTAAGATGGAGCGTGTTAGATATAAAACATTTTTCATTTTTTGAACATACGAAAAATCTTAGGCAACATTCTCGACTTTTTATAAGAATATAATACGAAATATAATTCGTTGATTCTCCTAATTTCTCACACTTTTCCAGAAACCTTTTATGATAGATGTGTGCGAGATACTTTGTGCTGTAATGTACAGTAGATTGTTTATTTTCTTACATGTATTTGCTTTTTAAGTTCATCTTCTTGTTTTCTTAATACTTCTTTGTTCTTTCGTCGTTGATCTTTTTTTAACTTATCTAATTCATATTTTTTTCGTTTCAATTGTTCTCGTAATTGTTTAATACGATATTCAACATCACTCACATCCGATGTCATATCTGAAAATATTACCAAAGTTTGAATGAACTTTTGAACAAACATAGATTTATCATTTCATATACCTGATTGAATAACAGAAAATGATTCTGCTTCACTTTCCGATACTTGCTTAACAGTTGTGGGTTTACGAATTTCAATAGGTTCTTTTTTACGTTGCGGTATAACAGCACTAGCGGTTGTTGTTTGAATACTCGTATCAAAATTTTCATCATAGTCATTTGATTTATGACGGCTAAAAGAAAAGTATAACAACAATATTAACAAGATCATAACATGACAGACATAGTAGTACTCACGAGATATTTGTGTCTGTTTTAATCTCACTGTGATCATGATTACTATCAACTACTTGAAATGGTTGTTTTCGAACAACTGTACGATTTAATGATGAATGAGAATCAGTTGAACTGTACGAGAACGGAAAGAGAGAGAGAGAGAAATGAAATTATGTCATAAGAGAAAACTGTGACATACATTGATTTTTTCGATGGTATTTCTTCACTAATACTACTTGATTCATCTTTTGCTTGTTTTACAACGTGTGGCGTAGATTTCGATCGTTGATGATGTTGATCTACAAAAATAACCACAGGTGATTTTGAGAGTGATGTATAGTTCGTTTTTATTTTTAGATAGTTACCTGTAATTTTTAATCTAGAATTAGCTGGACTTGAAACACTCCGTTTATCATCAAAAAGCTCAACAGCTGAAAAATAAATGACGATTATTACTCAACAAACTATCAACTCAACGTTTATTTTCGAATAATTAGTAATGACTACAAAAACGAAGAAAATTTTTAGGTCATGATCGCAGAAAAACACAGTATTGCGAAGTTGTTCGTTACTACACCATCTAGTTCAGTGAATTAATTTTAGTTTAATTCAATACTAAAACAACGCTGTTAATAGAGTACAGGTGACACTTTTTGTCTAAAAAGTAGAACGATAAACCAGTTCATAAGGTGAAGATAGTTTTATTTATATCAGATGACTAAAGAAAATATAATTCATATTTCAAACAAAGGAAGAAATAATAATAAAGAGTCTTCACTATTAGTTTAGAAAGAAGAAGAAGAGATAAACTACAAAGCAAGTGGTATTTCTTTGTTTTTTAAATGAGATTGTTTCCCGTATACATTACCCTTATTTTCACGTGGTGAAAGTGAAAAGTTAATTTTAAATTGTTTATCATCAACATTGCTACCAGATGACTGTTCGCTCTCAGCAGATGATAAAGTTTCATCAGCTATACAGATGAAAGACTGTATTAATTAGATTTTTGTAGAAGTTTTTATTCATAAAATATAAATCTTAATCATTTGTGAAGTTCAAAACATTTACTCTAAACTAAAACTGTTCTAAAGAAACTGATTGTTTAATCTCAATATGAAAATGTATGAGAAAATATTAGAAAACAATCTCGTTTTCTTAAGTGAAAATTTAAGATGAGAAATAATCATGTTGTTTAGCTGACAAAATTATTTAATTATCCGATGAATTTAATTATCAGATATCTTTTTCTAATTTTGTTCAAGTATCTGCGCATGTATTATATCAATACGTACCCCGTTTTTCTAATGTTCTCAATTTTTTTTCAACATCTTTTAAGCGTTTTCCCCATGCTTCAACTTCTTGTTCACTATTAAATTTTTGCCGAAATTTTTTTTCACGAGCCGTTAATATTCTAGAAAAGCAAATAAAATGAGCGATAAAGCAAATGATTGATTGAATTGAACAAAGAGCTCAATACATCCATCACTCTACATATGAGCAATTAAAGCAAATCATGTTGAATTACCTCATGCTAGAGAATTATGAAGGATACAAGGCCATATATAGCTACCGATCAAAGAACACCCAACTTCAAAACAAAAAAATTTAGATTTGGCAAAAACTTTTGTTGATTAAAAATGAGAATAAAACATGTCAAAGATCTTTTCATAGAATTACTATTCATTTATTCTGTAATTCTAAGTACAGCTAGTTTTACACTAAAATTTAAACGAACAACGTCTTTATTAGAGAAACAATATAACTCTAGAACCTCTTCAGATATCATCATGGAATAAACTAGTATTTACGGGTGTACACGTTATGAATACTGCTAAAATTTTCCCATGAGGAGAACTAAACAATTTTATATAAAAAGAAATTATCATATAGCTTTTGTACATTTGACTTTTCTTAACTAGAACAATTTCTATCAGATATACATTTTCTTCTGCCAGAAGTTAGTTAATCTAAAAATGATCTCGTTTACAAAAAGATTGAAGTCATGTCATTACGTAATATTCACTATGGGAATAAATGTTTGAGTGCGTTTTTTAAAACGATCTTGTATGCTATTGTATAAAGTAATGACATTGATGTTTGTATATAAAAACAATTTGCATATTTTTTACTATCATATAATAATAATCAATTTTTAGTAAAGAAACTGAATAATTGCATGCAAACATTGATTTATATCTCATTTTTTAAATAGGAAACAGTAGTTTCAATATACAAAGGAATTGATTTTTCTATAATCTTCTCAGAAGCAGATTTAAGATGATATACACATTCATAACGAAAATGTTAATACTTTATGGTTAGTAAGTTATGAAGAACATTGTATTTTTTTCTGATCAATATGAGAAGGTAAATAAACCAAAAAGGTCTTGCAAATCATATTCGATAATTTATTAATATCTGATAGCCTATCACATTTATTATGAGTCTTATTACTAATTATTTTTATTAGAAGAAATAATAATCTGTTAAAATCATTTGAGAATTATAACATGAGATTTTTTCGGTTTTTAAAACAACAGTTACAGCAGAAAAACAAACAGCTTTTCTCTTCTTTTTTTCTTACTTCACAAGCAGCGATGAAGCATTACTAAATAGCACACATTAGCTAATAAAATGAAACATACGATGGTCCATCATTTGTACGTTTTATCCGTCTAACAAATAACTAAGAAACTATAACATACAACTATTCGTGACATAGTAAGTTCAAATGTTTTTTGAAAATCAGTGATTAAATATGTAAGTCACAAAAGTCACAAAAATTTTTTGACAAAGTGAAATTAACTTAGTCTTGTTTTTTTTCTAGCAAGGAAACTCTAAAAGATTTATTAGAAACGATATTTCGTTTTTGAATTATAAGATCACTTTTTAAGTTTCTCAATATTTTCAAGTCTGATGAACACTTTCAATGACGTTTATTTACAGGAAATATTAAATAAGAAATTTTCTGTGTGTTTAATATGAAGAAAGATGAAAAACTAGTGTTGCACAAAATGTTTTGTCACACAAGATGAAGTACAATCTTCTAATTGTTGTTCATTGTAAATTAGTCAGAAGACTACACTCATTTTTCGATTAATCATCTGAACATAGAAAGTTTTTGAAATCATAAACCATATACGTAGGATCTTTTAACAAATGAAAAAAAAAATTTTTTTTCTTCAGATGAATGCAATTGTAACAGAGTAGAACGTTGACGACAGTTAATAATAATATAGAAATAAATTCATGCTAATTTTAATAATATAAAACTTTTTGTATAAAACCTTTAACATTCTAGAAATTATCTTTCATACTCATTTCATTTTCTTCCTAAACTAGTTGTACTTTTAGAGTTTATTTTATCGATTTAAAATAATAAAAAAATGGTCAATTATCTATTCAGAAATATTTGTTTCATATTTCTTGTACTTTTAAGTTATCGATTGGTAGCTATACACGGCATGCTATTAACACAAAAAAATAATCAAGAACAACCTACACAACCACTTAATATTGTCTCATCCGATGATATGTCGTATTCCAATATGGCGTCAGACATATTTAATCAACGATCATTGAATAAAGATAATAAACAATATCCGTACAATTATAAACGTTCAAAATTAAATCATAAAAACAATCTTAACTTGCCAAGATATTTAAAACGAAACCTAGACTAAAACTCTTCTTTTTTTTTCAATTGTCGTTTTAATCATTTAAATTATTATATTAAATTATTAAAAATAAGCTTTTGTAACCATTTTTTCAATCTGTGTATCAATATTTTACTGGAAAAAATCACAATTATTCAATCTTCTCTGATTTTCTAGTACAATTGTATTCCAGAGTCTAATCAAATTTTGTGAGAATGTTAATCCACTCGCATACAAATAAATCAAATTATATATCGGTAAGCTTTGTGAATAGTACCTGTGATGGGTGTAAAACTTTTCTGTATAAGGGACAAAGAATTTTTCTGTTTCAAATATTTCGGCAACGAAAGATCAGAGCGAGATCGGATTCTCACCATTAGAGAGGACTGTGTCTGAAGTTATAGTACATCCACTAGATTCATGGTTTCTATCAAAATTTTTAAGATCGATTAGTTTTTAGACAAAATAAAATTGAGTTTTCCGCTTTTATCGGTTGTTGTTTTGATTTCTTATACACGTGTACAAAATTTTAAAGAAAAAAATGATGTGTAACTCCGTTAAGACGTAGGATTGAGAGTAGTTCCATATCTCATCTTGAAAACAATTTTGTGCTCTTTGTGTCATGCTTGTTAAAAAAGTTTTAGCTTTATCTAAAGTAGACGAAAAAGAGATCGCTATTAACTCTCGATAGCTTTCTACGGGTGCAATATGACTCGTAGAAAGCTATAGAGGGTAGACAGTCGTCAGTAGAGGTCTGCGAGATGGTCTCGGTCCCGCGGAACTTTTTACTGGCCTGGCACCCAAAAAGTATTTTTTACGGGACCAGGACTGAGACAGGGACCTAGAGGTCTGCGCGACGGTCTTAGTCCTACAGGATGATTCTGGTCCCACGGGACTTTTATTGGGATCAGGATCAGGTTTTTTTGAAAATAGTCTTGTATGGAGTGTAAAAATTCCTTACGAGGGAACCTATGTACATGTATATTTCCCTTTTCATTCATTCATACGTCGATCGATAGAGAATACTGAAAAAAAGGATTCGGGCCGATGGCTTTTCCTTCAAAAGTTATAGGCATTTTTCTG